ACCTAGGCAAGCGCAGCAGTTATTGGTGGGAGGGTGAAGGGGGCTAGGGGAGGGGGAATGGCGGAAAGGGGGAGGGGGAGCAGGAGGGGAGGGGGAGCAGGAGGGAAGAGGGGGGGGGGGGGGGTGGGTTGCACATTTTTTTTCCCCGCCCAAACTCTCTCCAACTTGGTGCAAGTCCGCCAGTCAGTCAGCCGAGATCGGTGTCGTCGGGGGCCACCCCGGGCTTGTAGACTATGCGGTGGTTTGGTTTGCTTCTCGGACGGGGGGATAGAGCAAGAAAGTTGCCCCCGAGTGTGGTTGCTGGATGGAAGGGAGAGTCCAGTCGTTCGTGTTCGCCTCGGAACGCCACCTTCCTCGTCGCGCCGACACATGTTCGATTCGCAAGTGCGTGAGGCAGCCTGCGACAACCTGGAAGGTTCGACACGGCTCGACGCCGGGCGCGACGGCGATGACAAAAGCAGGCAATTGGGAGACACGTACGTTGCGTGGATTTCTGGTTGCACCACGCGCTGCCAGGCTGCGGATCATGGACGGGACGTTCGGCTCGGTGCTGATGGGCACACTCGCGGTAATGGTGTTGACGTCTGCGGGCGGCGCGCTGTACCTCGCGCTCAAGCTCATTGCCGATCAGGCAACGCGGTACCTGTGTACTTCAGTGACGGTGACCAACCGGGACGAGATGCACGACACGCTCCTGCGCTTCCTCTCGGCACGGAAAGATTTGTTTGTCTCGGCCGACAAGTTTGTTGCGGAGATCCATAAGGAGAGCACGGCGAAGTGGTGGCAAGACGACGGGACGATGGCCAAGGCCGACGCCGGGCAGCTTGTGCTTCGGCCGGGGACAGGTCACCACGTCCTTCGGTGGCGTGGGGCAACGATCTGGCTCCATTGCCACTCGCTCGGCTCGCCAATGACGCAGGGCTTCCATCGCAAGCCGTTCTTTCCGGCGGCGATCACGCTAACAGCACTGACCCGGTCGCGGGCACCATTGCAGACGCTGCTGGAGGCTGCGCGGGCGGCAGCGGAGAGCGGAAAAGACGGCAAGACCAAGGTGTACGTGCTTGATGCATGGTGCGAGGGCTGGGATGTGGCGGCGGTCAAGGCTCCGCGATCGTTTGACTCGGTCGTTCTTGACGGCAGCCTCGCCGCAAACGTTCTCGCCGATGCGCGCACCTTCTTCAGCTCGCAGGCGTGGTATGTGGCGCGCGGCATCCCGTGGCGGCGCGGGTTTCTCCTTCACGGCCCGCCGGGAACCGGCAAGACCTCGTTCGTCCAGGCCCTGGCCGGCGAGCTCGGCAAGCCACTCTGCTTCCTCTCGTTGTCGTCGCAGCACCTCTCGGACGAGATCCTGACCTCGGTGCTCGCAGTGGCACCGCACAACGCCATTCTGCTGCTGGAGGACGTCGACGCGGTGTTTGTCGAGCGACGAGCTTCAGATTCCTCCGCCCGCCGCGGCGTCTCGTTCTCGGGCCTGCTCAACGCGCTCGACGGCGTCGCGTCGCAGGAGGGCCGCCTCCTCATCATGACCACCAACCACAAGGACAAGCTCGATGCGGCCCTCATCCGGCCCGGCCGCGCTGACCGCCACATTGAGCTTGGCTACGCGAGCCAGGCCCAGGCCACAGCCCTCTTCCGCATCTTCTTTCCGACCGCTCCCGAGCTTGCGCCCGAGTTTGCCGCCGCCGTCCCGCCGTGCGCGCTGTCGATGGCCCGGCTGCAAGGCCTGTGCATGGAGCACAGGAACGATGCCGTCGCCGCCGTGACCGCCGCGCGCAGCCTCGGCGGCCACGAGTCTGAGCTCGAGTCCAAAGCATGCCTGCTCAACGACACGCCTATCGACGAGTGGCTGCTCCGGCTCGGGCTCCACCGCTACTTGCCCGCCTTTGCCCGGGCCGGTCTCGACTACGTCTCGCAGCTGCCAGCCGAGCTCGGCCCGACGTGCGATGCCGTCGGCGTCAAGCATCCAGCTCACGTCGCGCGGATGGCCGGCATGCTCGCTGGTGCCCGCGATGTTGTCCGTGGCTACCGCGCCGCCTCCCGCGCTGACATCCGTGCGCTTATACTCCGCCGCTTCCGCTGCAGTGTCGACCCGCCGCAGCTCGAGGCTCTCGTCAACGACGTTGCCGTCGCCATCACACCGGGCTCGACGCCGATCTCGGTTTTTGAGCTCGAGGCAGCCGTGGCAGCTGCGTCTGAGCCGGAAGACATTGCCGCTATCGCGGGATCGTGGCGCAAGCTCCCTTTGCGGACACCCGAGCCCATTGCGGCGTTCTGTGCCCGGATGGGCGTGCCTTGCGACGACCTCCTCGTTGACGATCTCAGCCTGTCAGACTTGCCCCACGGCGTGACGCCCGACATGCTCGCCGATCGCATGGTCGACGGGCTTGCTATTGACTGGGCCGAGCTTGGCCTCACCGAAGTTGGCGTCCAGTGGCGAGCCGAAGCGGCTGTCAGGGCCATCGCCGCGGCATCGCTCGCCGCCCGCCTTGCCGCCCGCGGCGTGACAGACACCGACGCGCTCGCGCTTCTCGCGGATGACGACGTGAGGCGGATGTTTGGCCTGGTCTCCGCCGTGGTGTGTGCCCGAGCTGTTGCCGAGCTGGCTCGGGCCAAGCTGCTGTAAACGGTTTGGTCACGCTGCGCGAGCGCGGAAGGCTGGCGGCTGGCGGACATACCCTTAGCGGTGCGGTCGTTCGGACGTGTTGTCGCGCGTCTCAAAGTGAACAACTCGACGATGCTTGATTTCCAGGTCACCAGCCGACGCCGAGCGACGCCTGCTTGGCCTGCGGCTTGAGGTGGGAGGCGCGCCCGATGCGTGGCTCGCACGTGGAGTCTACTGCCCGTCGCTCGTCCCGGTGACGCTCTTGTGTGCAACATGGGCGACGCGACGATCACGCTGTTCTCGCGTGGAAGGACTCGATCGAGTGCCGTTTCATGGCAATCTGCTCTCGTCCTCCAGACTCAACTCGCGCCTGCGCGCCTCGCTCACCACTGCGGCGCCGAGGACGCGCAAGTGGTGGCACTCCATCTTGTACTGGATGCTGGACGCCGCGCTCATCAGCGCGTACGCGCTCTACGCTGACGCGAGCCCACGCCCCGCCACGGCTCGCGTGTCTTTTCTCTACGACATCATCGACGCCCTCGCCGCCGGCGCCGACGCCGTCAGCTCGGTGCCGTCACGCAAGCGAAAGCGACCCTCGGCAGCAGCTGCTCGTCATCACCACCTTCCCCAGCGAGCCGCTTTGCGACGCAACTGCCTCGCTGGCCGGAAGCTTCATGGCAACCGATCGCGGCCGCGGACCTTTGCGCCGTGCGCGGCGTCCATCTCTGCATCGCTCACTGTTTTCTGCTGTGGCAGCCATCAACACATTGTACTACTCTTTTACAACAATTCATGGACGTTGCGAGGTCTGTGGAGCGTCGCGGAGTGCCCGCTTGCGCAGTGGACAAATTGTCCATTCCGTAGAGGGCTAAGCGCGCCAAACGGGGAAACGCAGGAGGCGCAGGGCGAGGACGACACCTCTCGCACCTCCACACCCTGCACATTAGACCCCCCAAGAGACCCACACCCTATGCAGAGTATGGAGGCACCGGCTGTGGAGCTCGAGTATGGGGCCAAGATTGTGCTCGCCGGGCCGAAGCGTGCGGGCAAGTCGGCCATAGCCAACGTGCTTGCGGAGAACGACATGGACGTCGAGCTGGCCATGCCGTACCACGCCACAGTGGGGGTGCGGATTCTGGAGTTTGCACGGCTGCTGGACGAGCGGTCGTCGATGGAGGTGCAGCTGTGGGACACGTCGGGCGACATTGACGCCTACGTCTCGGCCATGCCTGTGTACATGCGCGACGCCGTCGGCGTCATCCTCGTTCTGGACCCGGCGATGAAGAAGACTGACATGGATGCGTGGTTCACTACCTTTGTGGAGGACTACATGCTCGAAGACCGCCAGGTTCTCGTCCTCCTGCACATGGGCCCGCCCGGGACTACTCTGCCGTCGGGCGCCACCCCGCGCTCGCTGCTCCCGCGCCGCATGGCCGGCCTCAACGCCATCATCTCGACCCTCGAGTCCGACGAGGCCCGCGACGACGTCCAAGACGCCTTTGAGGATCTGCTGCGCAACGTTGCAGACGTCCTCGATGACATGCAAGCCGAGGAAGAGTCGCGTATCATCCAGAGCCAGCAGGGCGGTGCGTGAGCCGTCTCTGCCACACCGCACGGTGCTGCCATTACGCAGCACCCGCTCCCCTCGCGGCAGCGTCATCCGTCACGCGTTCTGGCCTCCTGCGCCGGATCGCGGGCGTTCCGCTTCGGCGTTGCCCACCCGCGGCGGCTCCGCCCCGGGCTCGGCAAGCATGCACTGCAGGAAGGCCTTGCCCGGCGCCACCATGTGCGGCGGAAAAGATTGAAAGATCGAATGCAGAAAGTCCTCCAGGTACGGATTGCACCGATGCGGCTGCGGTTTTGCTGTTGCCCACACCCCGACCGCCCATGCCGTGCGACCTTGTGAGTCGTGCCGCGCTCTCGATCCTATCCCCCCACCACCGGGCACCGCAACGGCTCTCAACCCAAAGCCCACGTACATGCCCGTGCATAGTATCTGTTGTGGGCGTCGGTGTGCAGCACCTCTTCTGTCAGCGGTGACGTCGGCGTCGGCGTCGGCTCTTGGTTCCCGTCGGCAGACATGGGCAGAGTGTGGCGCGAGGTGAGTCGGGTGAGCTGAGCCCAGTCAACACCGATGGCAGGCGGAGCGGGCAGAAGAGCTCGGAAGCCAGCTGGCCGGCAACAGCCACACACACGCAGTCAATCTAGGATACAGTACATACTCCAAACGATCAGTGTCATCTCCAACACAGCCGCATGTCCTGGTCCTCTCCCAAGGCCAGGATGCCCATGGCCAGCCGATCAACAGCCGATCGCCTTCCCTGCCCTCGCCGTCGCCAGCCACCGCAGCCGATCCAGCCTTCGCTCGCTCCACGTGGCGTGGCGTACAGCTCGCGCTCGGGCACGACGTCATGCTCCTCACCCAACTCCCCCCCCCCCCTACACTGCCGCCCTCCCTCGCCTCCTTCCTCCCTCCATCCCAGCATGTCGGGTACCCGACGACTCGCCACCATTCTAGCAGTGGTGGCGGCCATCTCGCTGCTCCCTCTGGTGCTGCTGCGGTCGGGCGAGCCGTCCGAGCCGCTGCCGGCCACCCTGCGACCTCGCCCGCGTCCGGCTAGGCCGACATCGGGTACGACGGTGGCACCACGCCCGACACCACGCCCGACACCCACGGCTTCACACTTGCCGCCACCGGCGCGGCGTGTCCGCTCGCCGCCTCCGCCGGGTGCGCCGCCGTCGCCGCCGTACGGTGCAGTCCTCTCTGAGGCCGCGGCGTCGGCCGCTCAGGAGACGGCCTGCGCCAAGTCCACGGCTGCCGCCCGTCCGGTTGCAAGCTGGCCGACGGACGCCGACACCATGCCGATGGCGCGCATCCGCCTCTCGTGGCCGATGTTTGAGCCAAAGAAGAGCCCGGCATGGCTTCGACCGTCGGAGGATGCTCGCGTCGACGCCGCGGCCTTTGCGCCTGGCGCCGGCTGGCGGCTCGACGTCCTGCTCGATGCGCTCGACAGCTCGGACCCAGAGGTTATCACTCGTCCGCTCCGTGCGTATCCCGTCAATGGCGCCCGCTTTGCTTTTCCTCACGCTGCCGCCTTTCTGCCAACCGTCGACTCGCCTGCCGCTGCTATGGCATCGCGCGAGCTGCTTGACTTTGTCCGAGTGCTGTTCTCCGGCGCGCCGGTGGCGAGCCCGGCCCGCGACGCCCTCAAGTTTTCTTTCAACTCGATGTGGCCAGTCCTCAATGTGGATCAGGTGCCTGATCCCACCGTGCCGCCGCTTCTGTTGCTGCTGGACGAGCGTCCCGGCCGCGCGGCTGAGCTCAAGTACCTGCTTTCTGCGCTCGCCGACGTCGATGACATCGAAACAAGCACGCTAGTCATTGTTGTCGACGGTGACGCTGACCTTGCAGACATCGCCGACGTTCTCCTCGAGTATGCCATCTTTTCACGGACGTACGTCTTCCTCTTCCCGCGGCTCCTCACCGCGCAAGCCTGGCAGCTCGAGAGCGGCCTCGAGGAGCCGGTGACAGCGCTCGCCCTCACCGGCCTCCGTATTGTCCACGACGTGCTTGGCGCCGAGACCGCCATCGGTCTCTCACTCTCGCTCCGCCCGCTCCCGTCGTTCCTCCGCCACACGGCGAGGCTGGCGCCGCTGGTAGCAGACGGCACGCTTTTTGCTGCGGACGCTCTCGCCCGTGGCCAGCTGCACGACTGCTCGCTACTCGCTGATCGCATTCTGGCGCGTGGCGAGTGCCTCGCCAACGACCCATCGGCAGTCACCGTCGAGACTTCGGCGGTCTTGGCGTGGACTCTCGCTGCGCAGCCCGCCGACTCGCTCGCTGGACTCGTCTGGGCCGAGCGCCACTATCGGCTCCTCGCCAGCGCTGCGCTTGCATCGACAGACGCACTGGCTCTCGGACCGGGTGCGGTCCTTGCTGCCGCAGCCGACGCGCTCGGAAGCGGCATCGCAGTCGCAGTGCCGTGCGCGGCCCATGGAACGTGGGCCGAGCCTAGTGCGGCGTGGGAGGCCAAGCTTCCGACTGCCCATGTCGCCGCACCAGAGCTCATGCCTGTCGGCGACATGCCGGCTGCCATCAAGGCTGCGCTGAAAAATGTCCGAGGCGCCGAGACATCGGCAGCGCCATGGCCGAGGACCTGCACGCGCGACGCCCGGCCGCCAACGGCCGCGCCGCTGCGAGACTACCCACCACAGCCCAGCAAGGAGCCGGCTTCGTCGGCCAAGACTGGCTACGATCTTGTCGATGCCGGTTCGGACGACGCCGTCCATCCCGAGTACTGGCGCGCCGCGCCACCGTTTGTCACTGACGGAGTGGCGAGCGCCAAGCAGTCGGCACAATGCGGCGGGTGCCGCGGCGAGGCGGGACGGCTTGCTGGCATTCAGGCCGAAGTTGGCGACAACCCGGCAAAGACCATGTCGTCAGCGGTTGTCGCCATATCGTGGCCAACGCTTGAACCAGCCGCGCCGCCAGAAATGCTCGAGCCGCCGGCCGACGACGACGAAGCATTTGTGCCCGGCGTCGGCTGGGATCTTGCCCACCTTGTCCGCGGGCTCTCTAGCTCCATGTCCAAGCCTGGCGACGAGTACACACCGCGGTGGATGGTGGCCGTACCTGACGGGCCGCCGGGAGGTGTGGACGTGGTCAAAGCACTGCTCGCGCCTGAGGATGGACCGCCAAAGGAGAGCCTCGGTGTAGACATGCTCAAAGCGGCGTGGAACGCGCAATGGCCGGTCCTCAACGCCGCTGCTGTGCCGGCGCGAGACCACGCGCCCATCGGGATGCGTCTGTTTGCTCGGCTCGACGCGCTGCCGACCTGCCTCGACACGCTTGCTGCCGTTGACGGGCTCGACGAGACCGAGGTCATCATTTCGATCGACGGGACTGAGAACTTGCTCGCGTTCATTGAGCTGGTGGCAAGCAAAGTGACGCAGACCCGGGTCTACTTTCTCCTGCACGGCTACCTGCCGGACGCTGTCTTACTCGGCGCCGAGTACGCGACGCAGTACGCCGACGGCCCGCCAACTGGCGGCGGCAAGTACGCGCGGGCCAACGTCAACTTCCTCTACCTCTTCCGGGTCATGTTCGACACGCTCGGCTACAACTACGCCGCCTTTACCGCTGACGACATGGTCTTTGCGCCGAGCTACTACAAGTACGTTCACGGGCTTGGCCCGCTCACCGCTGCCGATCCAAACCTGGTTGCCATCTTCTCCTACCCGCACGGTCTTGCCCACGACTGCAACTACATCGTGAGCGCCATGACCAACTCGGGGGAGTGCAAGATCTCCGACACCGAGACTGTGTTTGTCGAGCCCGAGTACTTTGTCGACTGGGGCAACGGCATGACCGCGCCCATCTTCTATGACGTCTTCCCAGCCATCATTACGTCCTTGCTCCCAGAGCCGTACGACGGCACCATCTACGTCATGGTCGGCAAGGACCGTTTCGCCATCGGCCCGTGCTCGCACCGTACCCAGTACATCACTGGCATCACCGGCATTTCCGGCGCCTCCGGTGCTCGCTGGGACACCGGCATGCCGCTCCTCGCCTCGATCGCCAACTACTCGACATTTGGCGATACCTTTGAGATCATAGGCGAACACGCATCCAAGGTTGCCCACCTCGGCGACGTCGTCCTTGGCGTCTGGCCCAATGATGGCTCGCGGGCTGCGCCCTCGTTTGACCCCTGCCTCCCGCCTAGTCCCTGACATCGCCTCGCCCGAGACGCATATGCCCCTGGCTGCCGCTGCAACGCCCCGCCTGCCCTCGCCTCTACTAGCTGGCTCCCTCTGCTTTCATCACACATCCCCACCCCAGTGCAGAACACCCCGTATTCGCCCCGTAATCGCCTTGTGTCAACAAATCCGTTTCTTTTTTCTTTAGGTTTTTCGGTTGCAAGCGCTCTTTTGTTCCGCCACACCAGCATCCCACGCCCCCACGCACCCGCAGCGCACTGCGGGGCCTTTGGCTTTGCGCAGCCCGTCGCAGCACAGCTGACTCTTGCAGTGAAGCAGTAAGAAGCAACCAAAGCAGCAGACTCACAGGCATGGCACGTGGAAAGACCTCGCGCGAGGTGCAGAACATGCGGCGGCGGGCGTCTTCGGCGTCGCGGGGACGGGCCGGGCGGCGCAAGCCGTCGCAGGGCAACTGCTGCAAGGACCCGTATGGACACTACGAGAACGAGTGGCTGACCTCGCTGTGCGGGGCATGCGCCAACTCGCCAGGAAACTGCTGCTACGGCCTTCTCTGTCCGTGCTGCTTTGCCTACTCGCAGCGCAAGGAGCTGCTCGACTACGACATGTCGCAGTACAAGTGCTGCGACAACCGCATGGGCTGCCTCTCCAAGATGGTGCCGTGCGTGAGTGGAAACGAGTCGTGCTGCCTCTGCCTCGAGACATGCTGCTGCTCCAACATTGCGGTTCACATCAACCGCTCCATGGTTCAGGAGAAATATCACGTCAGGAGCTCGTGCTGCGACAAGTCCATCATCTGCGCCGCCTACATCTGTGTCTGCATTGACTGCCTGCTCAAGTGCGGCGGCTCCCGCTCCGACGAGAGCGAGTCGTTCGGCTTCATTGCCGACTGCTTCTTCTGCTCCGTCATGTCGTGCATGCTCTCCCAGCAGCAGTACGAGATCAACAACCGCGATCCGTACTCGGTCTCGTTTGGGGGCTCGGACGACTCGTACGGATACGAGTCGGACTCGTACGAGTCCGACTCGCACCCTGGTCGCGGTCGCGGCCACAACAAGGGCCGCGGTCGTGCTCGCGGCCACAACAAGGGACGCGGCCGAGGCCGCGGTCGCCGCGGCAAGTCCTCGTCGGACGACTCGTCGACAGTAACATACTTCGTTTTTTTCCCCGCTAGCTACTGCCCGATGCCCCACGTTGCTCGCGTCCCCGGCCACGCCCGCCGCCGCGCCTGCGCCCGCGCCCGCGCCCACGCCCGCGCCCACGTCGGCGCCCGCGCCCGCGCCCACCCTTCTTGTCTCTGCGGCCTCGCCCGCGTCTCTCGTCGCGTGATCGGCCACCGTCACGCTCAGCACGGACGCTGCTATTTGCGGGCTCGGCTGCCGTTTCGGCCACCGCCTCGGCCACCGATGTGGCATTGAGGGTGGTGACCGAGCCAAAGACGTTGACCACGCCCACGTCAGCGTGGACAGGCTGTGCCTCGTCGGTCCGGGCCGCCGAGCCACGCTCGGCTTCCCACTCGTAGCGGGCGACAGCGAGTGAGTCAAACCGCCCGCTGCATGCCGCGCGAACGAGCGCTCCATACTCGATCACCAAGTCTGCGCCGACAAGCGCCCGGCAGACCGGGCAAGTCAGTTCCTCGGCAGACGTTGAAAGCCAGTCGGCAAAGGAGCTTGGCTCAAACAGCGCCACATCCATGGCGGCGCAGAACGGCCGCGCCTCTGGCCCATGCGCTGCATAGTTGGCCAGGCACGCTGCGTGAAAGGTGTGCCAGCAGGCGGCCTTGGCGATGCCGAGCGCCGTCGCATCAGGCGCAATGGGCTCAAGATCGACGTCGTCAAAGGCGCATAGGCAGATCGGGCAGACGCCAAACGGGAGTGAGTGCTCGGCCAGCTCCTCCTTGGCCATCTCGACAAGCCGAAAGACGACCGGCAGACCCTCGAGCTCATCGGCCACAACCTCTTGCAGCTGGCAGAGCAGAGCGGCGGCGACACTGTCGTCGACACCGCGGAGCTCGCCAAAAGCAACCTGCGCCTGCCCGGCCTCAGGGTACCCGTGCGGGAGAGCGAGCTCGAGCCCGACTCGCACAAACACCCTCCGCGCGTCCATGCCCGACGGCGGGGTGATGGTGCAGAGGTAGCGGGCGGTGGCCCCGTCGCTCGCCGCCCACGCTACCCGCACCTCGCTCGGCGGGTAGATGGCCAGCACCGCCTCCATCTCGTCAGCCGCCTCCTCGCCGTATATCTCGCGCATCCGCTCTACTGCTCCTTCGTCGTCGTGGTCTGTATCATGGCTCATCTGGCTATCCCTTGGCGTCTGCGAGCTCGAGTCGAGTGGCTTGTGGTCAGCCCCGGCCGCACTTTGACGGTGTTGCTGGTTGGACCTGGATCGTTTATGCCACGCAACCATGCCGAGTATTGCTTGCACGTACCAGTTCAAAAGCAACTGCGTCGTACCGCTACGAGTCGCGCTACATGTCGGAGAACGAGTAGTATCCGTACGAGTCGGTAAACTCGTCCGACGAGATGATCGGCGGGTGCGGGTCCGGTGCGGCGCCGACGGCAAAGGCGTCGTCGTCGCCGCCACTCAGCTGCGGCACCACGTCGCCTTCCCAAACCTCGGCCGACGGCTCGGCGTCCGAGTAGTACGAGCCATAGACCGAGGCCGACTCGACGGGGATGGGCGGCTCGGCATCGGGCGGGAGGACAGCCTCCAGCGAGGCTGCGGCGTCGTCGTCGAGCGACTGCAGGATGGAAATCTTGCCCTCAGCGAGAGCGCGGAGAACGCGTGCGGTGTTGCGGCCGGTGCCCTTGACAAGCTCATAGAAGAGGCCACGCTGCTTGTTGAGCAGCCGCAGCGGCGAGTCAAACTGCGCTGCCACGCCGTTGTCCATGACCAGGATCTTGTCCGAGTCCATGATGGTATGGAGGCGATGCGCAATGGTGAGAGTTGTGATGTCGTCGGTGAACGCGCGCCGGATGGACGACTGGATGAGCTGGTCCGTCTCGGTGTCGACCGACGCCGTCGCCTCGTCGAGCACAATAATCTTGGCCTTGCGGAGCAGCGCCCGTGCCATGCACAGCAGCTGCCGCTGGCCAACCGAAAAGTTGGCGCCCTCCTCTTCGACCATGGCCGCGAGTCCGCCCATGTCGACCACGGCCTGCTTCATGTACGCCTGCTCGAGCGCGTACCAGACTTCGTCGTCGCTGGCGGCATCAAACGGGTCGAGGTTGGCCCGAACGGTGCCGAGGAACAGCACCGGATCCTGCGGAATAATCGCCATCTGCTTGCGCAGCTGCTTGAGGCCGATTCCCGCAATGTCGACGCCGTCGATGACGACCGAGCCAGCCGAGAGCTCCACAAGCCGGAACAGGGCCTGGATGGTGGTCGACTTGCCGGAACCGGTCCGCCCCACAATGCCGATCTTCTCGCCCGCCTTGACCTTGAACGAGAGGCCCTTGAGCACTGGGTCGAGCTCCGGCCGGTACCGAAGCTCCACGTTCTTGAACTCGATCGCGCCGGTCCGTGGCCAGCCGCGCGGTGGGCCAGGCTCGACTTCGGCGGCGGCCTCCTGCGGGAGCCGCGTGTACTCGTCGATCCGCTCGACCGAGTTCATGTTGGCCTCGGACATGGCGAGCATTTGCAGCGAGAACGAGAGGTACTTGGAGAGATTGACCGCATACGCAAGCGCCACGCCGGCCAGGCCCGGCGAGACCAGCGAGTCGTTCGAGACCATAGCCACCGCCAGAATGGTGACCACAAACGTGCCCAGCATCTCCAGCCGGAACGCGAGCCACCGCACAGCGCAGGCCTGCGCCCAGAACCAAGCGTGGTTGGTGTCGATCCGCCGCGCAGACTCGGCCTGGAACTGCGTCACCGCGCCGTAGGCCCGGATCGACGCCACTCCGGTGAGCGACTCGGAAAAGTGTGCATAAACCGGTGAGCGTGTGGTCGAGTCAAGCCGCTTGAGGTCGCGCGACGACGGCCGGTAGAAGCCCTGCACAAAGTAATAGACCACAAGCACTGGGACCAGCGGAATGATAAAGTACAGCGAGGCTGACAGCAGCAAGACCATAATCGCCACTGTCTGAAAGACCATCGTGCCGAGGAGCGCGAGCGAAAACAGAAGCATCTGGTCGATCGAGTAAAAGTCCTTAGAGAACCGGTTCTGGATCCGACCCATCGGCGTGGTATCAAAGAACGACATCGGGGCGCGAAGGACCCGACCAAACACGCCCTCAAACAGCTTGCGCGAGGCCTTGATCGAGACCACCATGTTCATGATCTTGAGAATGGCGACAAGAATCGAACCCGCAACGCCGATGGCGGCGTAGATGCCCAAATAGAACGTCTGTGACTGCTTGAACTCATCGTCGGACCAGAGCGCGAGCCACGCGTCAGCGCCGACAAGGAACGTCGACTGCAGCGCGGTGAGGCTGATCATGAGCGCCACAAACGGCAGGCCGCCGGCAGCGGTGGCATACGCGCGGAGGACACTCCATGAAATTGAGCCCTTGGACCGCCCCTCCTCCTTGACCAGCTTGCCCTTGACGGCGTCGTCGGTGCGGTTGTGGACTCGCGGCGCGTTGCCGTCCGAGTCGGCAAACATGGCGCCCTCGAGCTCGACCGACGAGTTGAGCTCGAGACTCGAGCCGCGGAGCGAGGTCCGCGACACCTCGCCGGTGGTCCCAAGACTCTGGGTCGAGAGCCCGGGCGTCGGCGTCGGCGACGGTGACGGCAGGTTGGCCTCGTCGTCCGGGTGGGTGATGGCCGCAATGTCGAGGCCCGAGACTGCGAGCTCGTCGTGAGTGCCGGCAAACGCTATGGTGCCGCTGTCCATGACATAGATACGGTCGGCAGCGTCGAGAAACTGGAGCTGGTGAGTGACGAGGACCCGAGTCTTCGACTGCATGGCACCGTTGATGCAGAGCTCAAACAGGTGGGTCCCGACGTGGACGTCAACCGCCGACAGCGGGTCGTCCAGAAGAATGAGATCGCGGTCGGCGTAGAGCGCGCGCGCAATTGAGACTCGCTGCTTCTGCCCGCCTGACAGGTTGATGCCGCGCTCACCGATCTCGGTCTGGTCACCGCCAGGCAGGACCTCGAGGTCGGCCTCGAGCGCCGCAGCCTTGATGGCCGCCTTGTAGCGGGCGCTGTCAAACTCGGCGCCAAAAACATGTTGTCGCGGACCGTGGCGTTGACAATCCAGGCCTCCTGTGGAACGTAAGCAACAGTGCCGTCGCGAGTCACCCGCCCAGAGACCTTCTGCACCTCGCCCAGAATAGCCGAGAGCAGGGTCGACTTGCCAGAGCCGACCGGCCCAATGATCATGACCAGCTCGCCCTCCTCGACGAAAAAGTTGATGTCCGAGAGATGATTCGGCGGCGGATCAGCGGTGACTGGCGCGGCTGAGGCGTCGTCGTCTGCTCCGCCCTTGCGCTTCCGCTTGCCTCTCTTGCGCTTGCTCGAGGACTTGGCTTCCGGCGCGGGCTCGGGCTCGCTGCTGTCATCCATTCGGGAGGCGCCCCAGGTAAATGTGCCCTCCTCGATGGAAATGGACGGCGGAGCGTTGGGCTCGTCCGAGGTCGGCACCTCCTCCCGCTCTTCGAGGAGCAAGTGGGCCTGGACTCGGCGGAGCGAGATGATAGCGTCGATGGCCTGGGTGATGACCATGGGCATTTGCCCGATGGGGAAGCGGAGAATGGCAAAGAGGGCAACAGCCGGGAAGACCACCTTGGCGTCGAGCGAGTTGCCGGCGGCGGCGTAGACGGTAAAGGTGACGACCGAGACCGCAGTCGGGGCAAAGGCCATGGTGAAGCCAATGACAGCGCGGTAGAGTTGCGACTTGCGGATGTGCTCGAGCTCGCGGGCTCGAGCGGCGAGGACCTTGCTCATGAACGAGTCCTCCCAGGCGTAGAACTTGACGACGCGGATGCCGACCAGGATCTCACCAATGAGCTTGACGCGCTCATCGGTCTGGGCCTGAATGAGCTTGGAGATGCGACCGATGGCCTTGCCGGCCGAGCCTTGAGCCGGGACGAGGAGGACCATGACCAGGAGGCCGGCGAGCGCAGACGGGCCCAAAAGCCGGATGAGGAGGGCCATGGCAACCACAATGAGGATGGGCCCAGCCCACATGAGGTGGAACTGGTCCATCATAACCCGAATACGCTCAGCATCGGACGAGATGATGTTGACGATCTTGCCCGAGTCGGCGTCGGGTGAGGCGTGCGGCGCCATGACCAGCGACTTGGAGAAGACCGAGTTGATGATGATGGCCCGCAGCCGCATGCCCAGCCGCTGCATGCGGTTCATGTGGTGCTGGAACGCGATCGAGTACCCGAGCTGGGTACAGATGAGCAGGAAGATGTAGAAGATGCCCAAGCCGACCGACGGCTGCTCGCTCGGCGGCTTGCTGTTGCGGTCCTGGAGCCAGCCGATGATGGCGCCGAGGACCATGGGTCCGGCAACCTGCGAGCCGTCCTGTAACGCCTTGATCAAACCAGTGGTCACCACCCACCAGCCAAAGACCCGTCGGAGCGTCCGCAGCAGCGATGCCTTCTCGCCGCTCTCCTCCTTCTCGGCCTCCCACTCGGCGCTAAACTGGCTCATCAGCGGGAGGCAAGCGTCGCGCTCCCGCAGACCAGTCACGTCCGTCGGCACCAGCGCTCGCTTCCGACCGCGGCTGGTGTTTGGGGCGAGGGGAAGGTGTGAGTAGTAGTGGGGAGGGGGTGGAGGAGGGGGGGGGGAGGGGGGGGGGGGGGAGGTACGCTGGACTTGGCGTGATGATGGCGCTGGCAGCGGCGATTCATGCGGCGGCACCTGGGGCACCTGGGGCGCCGTGGGGGGAGTAGTGCAGACAAGGAGACTGGGATGTGTGTGTGGGGTGGGGGGGGGGG